AAGTTAAGTGTTTTATAAACATGTGGTTTAAGGTGTTTTTGAATCATAATTGCTATTCCAGCTTTGCAATTATCAATACATAACCAATAATAGATAAAGTGTTAAGATCTAGAAAATTAGTATGTGAATTGTTCTGTGAGATTTTAGTTTTTGTAATGCTAGCAATGTTGATGTTATGAGATAAACAGTAATCCTCCCATGTTTGTTGTTTTGAGTTGTCATTATATCCTCATGTATTATGTGTACATATTGACAGATAAAGTAGTTTGTATAAGTTAGCATAGATGTTTCAGCTATTAGATTATAAGATGTAGATTCAGAGATGGTTTCTAACCAGAAAGCTGTATGATTAGATGTAAAGATAGATAATAAGTTAGTAGATAGAAATGCTAAGGATGAGTTAGTGAAGAATAGTTAATCAAGTAAGAATGGGTAAATGTTAGATAAAGTATTGTTTGGTATTGTTAGTAGAGGTAAATGCTTATATAGTTTATATTAAAAAGGTTGAATAAGATGATATTCAGGCAGAATAGGATCTGAAAGGTCAGTATATATATGTAGCTCAGTTTTGTTATGATTGATAGATATATTAAAGCTATGTTTAAAGAAATGTTTTTGAAAATAGGATAGAAATTGTCTGAATGTTATATAGTAGTATATAATATATTGTAATAGAAATTTGTTGTAACATGTATTTGTTTCTGCAAAAGGTAAAGTGTTAAAATAGGAACATAAGAGGTTGGATTGTCTTCTACAGAATTATTTACCATTTGAAGCTCAGCTTGCATAGCTGTGAAGGATACCATAGTCTGCCCTGTACATTGGGTTTGACTGTTATTAACTTGGTCTTTCATATAAATAAGCTTTACTGCCTTTTCACTTAAATTATTTTTCTTGCCAACTACTAAGTATGTATCTCTTGGCAAAGTGGTGGCTGCAACTATAGGGTTTATAAAATATAGGTTTATTAAAAAAGAGTTTTCTTAAAGAAAAGAGATTCTTCAAATAAGGAAAATATTGAGTATAATATTTTAAATTTGTCTTGTAATATTTTGTTTATCTTTGAATAGGCTGTTTTTTGGTAATAAGTATTAATTTGGAAATATATTAGAAATTTGTCAAAAGAGTTAAACAATGTCAAAACTCTTGCCAATAGTTCAGTACTAGTAGGTTTGTAGATAATAAATTCTACTGCTTTTTGTTTGTTGAATTTGTTGATATGATGATTTTGTGCTACAATGTTTTGATATAAATTAAGATATAAATAAAAGTAGTAGCTGTGATGTTTGGGTTGGTTAAAACATTGTTGATTTTGCAAGCAGATTTTCCATTTCTATTATAAGCTCATCAAGAAGAGAAATAGAAATTTGTTTGTTAAAGGATGCTTTATGTTTGCTGTTTTTGTAAAATATAGATAGGTCGATTTCAGGTTGTTTTCAAACTTCATTTTCTTGTTTTGAAAAGTTTATATATATTTTTTAAAGATATCATTTAGTAGTTGTAAGAAATTATGTTGAAATTGGAGGTTTGAAGTTATAATAGATAGATTTGTATTTTTTAATCTTTTTCTTTTGTTTTTGTGTTTTATTTTTTCTAAATAGAAATAAGTTTCTTCTGTACAAGTAAAAATATGAAAGTTGGCTAATTTTATTGTTTTATTTTGATGTTCTTGTAGGTTGTAAGATTGTTGAAATTATATTTTAGTAGCTAAGGTTTCTTTAAGATAAAAAATAAATTTCTGTCAGATTTGGTATTTTAAAAAGTTAAATACTTTAGTTTTATCTAATGTTTAGGCAAATTGTTGGTTGTATGTTGGAAAAAATTGTTTAAACCATAGTTTTAAATAATCTAAAGAATTTGCAAGAGATGAAATGTTCAGTTTTTGGTAAAATAGTGTTTTTGGAATATTAAAATTAAGATAGATATTAAATTTGCTATCAGATCTAATTATAATATATTGTTTTTCTTTGTCAAAGTTAGATACTTTTGATATAATGTTAAATCTTTTAGGTTGAAGTAGGAAGTCTTTAGTAAATTTGATATAATCAATTGCTTAGTAGTTGTTTGAAAGATATAAATGAATACAAGCCAGATTGATACAAAGTTGAATATAATTTTGATTAGTATATAGGGAAATAGTAGCTGAAAAGGCAAAGATTTTGAAGTAGTTAAGTTTTGTAAAAAGAATTGTTGTAAATGCCAAAATAAGTTTTTTGAGAGTTTTTTCAAGTATGTCGAAAGAAATAGTTATTTGCTTTGTCTGTATTAGGATTAGTTTTTTGAATGAACTCAATAAGAAATTCATATCTGTCTTTAGCTATTTTGTGAATAATATAGTAGAAACTGACTTTAAGGCCCTTTTGTTTAGAGTTTTAGGCTTGATTTCTTTACTAGGTTAAAAGTTATATAGATAAGATTTAAGAAAATTAAAGATTTTTCTTAAAAATTCAGTTTGAAGTTATAATTTAGCTTTCATATCTTCAGAAATTAGAAAGTTAACAAGCCAGTCAAATATTAGATTAACTTTAATTTTTTGTTAGTTGTTAGTAGTATTGGTTTGTGTTGTCTGTTGTTATTGTTTGCTTGTTTGTTACTATTGTTGTTGTTATTCATTAGTGTAGAATGGGTTTTGGTGTAGCAGTTGTTGATGTTGTTGTTGGTGTTGTTTGTTGTTATTGTTATTAGTGTGTTATTGATAAGATCTATATCACTTGTAGTATTGCTATTGTTTTTAAATAAGGTTGTAAAGGTAAGTTAAGATAAAAGTAAATTGTAAAAGCTAATTGTTTGTTTAAGTTTTTGAATAAATGTAGAAGAAGATCTTAATTGTTAAGCAAATTGTTGTGTATTAGTATAGGCTTTATGATAAGGTTTATCATTATGTAAAGTAGCATCTGTTGCAAATAATGTTGTTTATTTATTTTTTTAAAAGCAATAGATAGGTTACATTTAGTACAGAGATAATTATATATAGTTGGTAAGGGTGATGCTATAGGTAATGGCAAGACAAGCTCAGTAGATTTTGCAATGATATTTGCTAAAGCTTTTTTATCTTTAAGTTTTGAAATAATTTTTGTAGTTTTATGTAGTTTGTAAATTTAATTAGTTGTTGAGATAAAGTGTGTATAGCATTTGCTACAAAATCATGTGACAACAAAGCTAGATTTGGGTGCTTTAAAGTAATGACTACTTTTGGTACTCCCTCTAAGTTCAGTAACATTATAGTTGTTAGGTTATTTGTTTACAAGAATAGAGTATAATAAGGTTGCTGCATTTTCATGAATACTGATTCTGAAACTTTTAAAACAATTCTGGTAAAAATAATTAAGATTGATGATATCAGATGCAGTTGTTACAAAGGTTGGCATTTTTTTTAAAAATAGATTTTCAGATATGTTTTTTGAGAAAATTTGTTCTATTTAAGGTTTCTAGACTAATTAAAAAAGTTTTAAAAAGAGTTTAGGTTTCAGATAAACTGATTAGATGTTTAGGAAATTCAAATAGTACTAGAAAAGTGAAATTTCTAAAGCAACTCAGCAAGTTTCCTAAAATTGCCAATGAAAAAACCTGCAAAGAGCAAATTTTTGTTTTTGCTTGTATCTCTATGAGTTTTAGTTTGTTTTTAATAAATTATATATCAAAATGTCTATCTTAGTGAGCTGAACAACTTTCAAATAGGTATAAAGATAGATGTAATTAGTAAAATTATATGTAAAAAAAAACAGAAGCTAAAAACTTAGTTTTTAAAACTTTTATTAGCAATTAAGTATTATTGAAAAATAAAACTTAGCAGTCTAGAGGGAGAAAAGTATACTAAACAACTTTACTTAAGAGGTCAAATAAGGTTTACTTAATAAAAAGTTGAGAAATAATCAAATATCTTTTTGTAGTTTTGGTATAAATGATCTACAAAGAAAGCTAATTTTAATTGAATTTATATAAATTGTGATAAGATTCATAATAATGCAAAACTATGTATCTTAAAAAGAACAAAATTCTGTTACAACTATAAGAAGTTTGGATATATCAAACAAAACTGTTCAGAGGTACAATATTGAAAATATAATGAATTTGGTTATCTCAAAACAGATTGTAGTTATAGATAGTATAAATTAGTAGATTGTCACCCATATACTGCTAGACTGAAATAGTTAGATCAGTTAATAGTTAATTTAACATTAAAACTAATATTAATATATTTATTAATGATTAAGTCAAATGCTAAAATTAACTATTAAATAGTCTTATTAATTATATTTGGTTTGCAGTATATGGATGTCAATTATTTCTTTTTTTTTATTTAACTGTATCTTTAACAAATTTATATATAATAAAATAACTATAAATAGCCAAGTTAAAGTGTATTGAAAAATTAACTATGACAATATCCAAATTATAGAAACATTCAGTGTATCTTATTTTAATAAAAATGCTTGCATATTATATAATTATAAGATTAAACACAATAATAATGTCACTTCTATGAAGAGATATTTTATCAATAAGCATAATGATAAATGGCTCAGTATTCGTTAATATAAATTTATCAGAGGCAGAACTCTAAATAAAAAACAACTAATAAAGAAATAATTTTGTAAAAAGAAATGCATTGTATGCAATTATGAATTTTGAGTTAATCCAAAACTTTCAACTATAAAAAAATACTTTGTGAATACTTATAAAGCAGATTGTAATACATTCATTAAAACAAAAAAGTTTATAATTAAGTTAACACAAAGAAGAACTTAAATTCAAGTTGTTAAGAAACTGATTATGCATCTTATTGCTCAAATTAAAGAACCAAAAGAGTTAAAATCTAAATCTAAAAATACTGTTTCAAAAAAGAAATCCAAAATAGTTAAAAAGATTCTCAAAAAACCTATTATTATTAAAGAACAAAAATTACCCTTATTTGGTCATAATACTCAAATTGTAAATTATTATTATAATAAATATAATATGCTAAATATGTATTAATGTAATACATGTTATGAAGTAGTTTAGCCAGAATTATTCTTTTTGTAAATATGACTTAGATGTAAAAAAAGATTTTTAGATGATTCAGATAAATTTGAAAATAACATATAACTCTATGAAATATATAAATAAAGCAATTCTGAACTTATGATTACTTATAAAAAAAAGTTTAAAGCAACTTTTGCAAAAGCATTATTGTTTAAACATGTCATTGAAGTAACAAGAGAGCTTGTTACTGATATTAATATTGAGTTTACAAAATCTGGTATTAATTTTTTAAGTATGAATTTATCACACATTGTACTTATCTTTGTCCATCTTGATAAAAAAGTTTTGAAATATATGTTTATAACAAAGATGAAACTATTAGTATAAATTTTAATTATCTAAATAAAATACTTAGTCATGTGAAGAATAATGATACTCTTATACTTAGACTAAGAAATCCAGATTTTTTAAGTGTTTTATACAAAGGTTCTGATGATACTAGTGAAACTGAATATGAAATTTAATTACTAAATATTGATTAGAAAAGGGTTAGTATTTACCCACTAACTATAATATGATTATTAATATGCCTTCAGTTGAATTAAAAAAAATATTCTTAAACCAAATAATTATAAATAAAACAGTATGAATAATTGTAGAATAGAATATTAAAACAGTTAAATTTATTTCAACCAGTGATTTTAATAATAAATATATTAGTACTTTGATAATAAAATTAATATTAAAGCAGAAAATAATATAGATGATTTATTTTTACTTAAATTTTTTATTAATGTTCATGAAAGCATCTTCTTTATCAACTTGTGTACAAATTTGTTTAGAAAGTAATTTCTTAATTATTGTTAAATATAAAAATGAACAAAACTATATTCACTACTATCTAGTACCAAAAGTAGTTAAAGAATAAATATGTATTTTATTTATATTTCTAGCTAAATAAAACCTAAACTATAAACTAAAAGTTATGTATTTCAGGGGTTCAAGTACTTTATATCATATTTTTTACATTTTTTGATTGCATCTTCATTACCTTTTTATGCAGCTATAATTAAAATATCTTCTACTCTTTTCTTCATCTTTAAACTCTTAATCAGTATAATAAATTGAACTTAATATGTAAAATGTGATTGCATTTTCATTCTTTTCAGCAACTGACTTCAAGTAATCAATAAATTTTTTGATCATATTTTTATCATGTTCTTTAGAAAGTATCATATATTAAAACTATGCTTCAAATCTGTAATAGTTATTCTTAATATCACTTTCAACAACTTCTTTGAATAGGGTCTTTGACTCAGAAATATTCATTGAAGTACCAAGTTCTCATAAATATAAACACCTTTTTAGTATTTTCTTTTGATGAAAATTTCTGAATTATTATAATTTACAGAATAATTGAAATATCTGAAGTAAAGAGATGCAATGCTAAGTATAGTAACTAATCTTCTAAGATTTTTATGTATTTCTATAAGATTGTATAAACATTCTTAATAGTATTATTATTGCATTTTCTAAACACAATTTTAAATTTCTCTGTACTTTTATGTATTAAGTATAAAAACTTAATTTCTTTAGTAATAATCAATTCTAATAACTTAGTTTTTTAGTTTTTGCATTGTATGTTCAATAAAAAAAGATATTACTTTTTCAGAATTTAAATGATAAAAAATACATTCATTTATTTAAATAAAAAATATGATAGTACAAAAATGAAAAAGTGAATAAACTATATTCTAAATAAAGCTAATTATTTATAAGATAGCTTTAAATTGTATTTGTACTTTATTTTTCAAATGATAATCTTTAGAATCATTTTTAGCAACTTCTTTAAATAAGATTTTTGCTTTAAGTTTATTAATAAAAGTTCCAAATTCTTTATTTAAACAGATCTGTTTTCAATACTTTGCAATAAGAGCAATTGTTAAATTATTATGTTTTGCACAATAGGTAAAACCTTTGAAGATACTATTTTTATCATTAATTATATTATCAGAGTTGACTTTAGTATAAAGATTATACTCAGCGATACAACTATTTAAATAACTTAATATTGTCTCATTGCTAGAATTATCAAATATTCATTTAAATTCTTTTTTACTTTTATTCATAGCCAAACCTAATTTAACAAACCCAAGACTTATTTTAAGTTTATAAAAAGAATTAAAGTTTATGCTTATTCATATTTGAAAAAAATATAATCTTTTATTAAAATAGGAACAATGATATAAAAACAAAGAAAGTTAATCAATATATTAATCTTTTATATGTTTTATTATTTGACTCTATTTAGCACTACATTCTATACAAATTAATTTTCTATTTAAGCTTTTAAGAAGCTTTTTTTCTTAAACTTATAACATAAATTACAAATATTATAACACTTCTTTTTCTTATTATCCTAACTGGTCTTATTTGTCTTATACAATTTACAAAATTTCTGTTTCTTACAATTTATATAGAATTTAAAATAACATTTTTGAGCTCTATTCCAACCAACCTTATTTATTTTATATTCTTTACATAATGATGCATTTCTGATTAAAATTTTTTTATACTATTTTCTGCATTTACTGTTTTTATATTTTTCTATTTCTATAAAAACAGACATTTTCTAAATTAAATAAGAGTTCAACATTATTATTACTATAAAAAACCCAACTCTTCTTCAAAAGATTCATTATTTCTTTCTAATATAACTTTATAATCTTGAAGAGCTTATTTAATTTCTTTTCAAAATTTTGGATCAAGTGGAACCTCAAAAACTTGCTTATTATTTTGTATTATTTTGCTATCATTTTTAAGCATAAATGTAAATATTTAATTAGAATAATTTTTAATATTTTCTATTATTGTTATTATCTTTGTTTGTTGGCTACTAAGAATAAAAACTAGAGTGTTTTTATCTAAAGGAGCACAAATATTACAATATTTTTTATATTCAGGAAAAGTTTTTATATTACAACAATGTTCAAAGCAATATTGACAAAAAGGTGCTCTCTATTCAATATATTCATAACAATTATATATGTCTAACATAAAACACTCTTTGTAGTTATTTTGAAAGATTAAAGTATTGTATTCTATTGTTTAGTTTCAAAAAAGTTTTGGTAATTTTTGCTTTACTATTGTTCATTTTTATATTTAGAAGATATGCACAAATGTTTTAAAGATAATTCTGACTTTTATAGTTTATTAAGAATTAACTTTAATAGAAATAAAACATGTTTTACAAAATACAAAAAAAAAATTACAAATAAAGAATGTTCAAAATATTGAATATAATTTTATATGAAACTTATTAATATCTTTTATAATCACATCAAGAGCTTTGTTATAAGAATTAGTTAAACTGTTATTTAGTTCTGCAAGTTCTCTATTATGTCTTGTTTTAAGTACAAGAAGAAGAATATAAAACTTAATATTGAGATTATAAGATAGATAATAAAAATTCTCTTATAAAAATAATATTTTTTCTCAAAATTCTTTGAATAAAATGACTGATTCATCTTTACAGATATCCCAGAAAAACTAATTATTCTGTTATCTAGTAATTGATTTAATGTGAATTGATATTTCTTAATTTATAATAAAATAGTAACTAGATCATTATTAAGCTTCATAATCAATAAATTAAAAGTTTAAATACTTTTGATAAGAAAGATCATATCTGAGTATAAATCTTATTGAGCATTAGTTAACTGACTCATCTTATAATAATTAAAAGATGAACTGTATTGTTTTGTATAGACTAAAATAGATAGTTTGTTTAATAGAGACAATTTAATTAACATCAGTTTAAAATAAAACACATTTGAATAAACATAAAAGATAATATTGTTAAGAAAATAAAAATATAAATTTAAATTAAGTATGATAAAATAATTTATTGATAAATAGTTACATATATTTTGTTATAAACTATATAATACTTTTTTTATACAATTTTGCAATTTCTAAAACTATAATAAAAAAATTCTTAGTTAAATTAAATTTCTTTGTTACTAGGTATTCAGACTTTTGTACAACCTGTTTGTATAGGTTATTTTTATAAATAAAAATTGATACTGGGTTCCAAATTATACTTACATCTTCTGATATAATACCAAACTCATGTTCCATTAAAAGCATAAGTTTTTCAAATTTAGTAAAAAAGATATGTATAGGTTTCATTTTCAAAAATGTTTTGTCTAATTTGTTAGAATTGTTTATATATACTTGTACCCAATTTTAGATTTTATTTTTTTGTTTTCTAGAAAGAATATCTCTAATTATACTCTGATACAATTTTATGTTAAAGCTATTCTTTGTAATCATTTCATTATCATGCAATATCTTTTTAAAAATTAATACTTTAATTTTTTAGTTAATTCTTCTTTGTTTTGTTCAAATTCTTCTGAAAATGTTTTATATTTTTCAGAACAAGAATGACAAAAACAATTTTCATCATTATTATAAATCTCATTACATAAGTCTTCTATTCTGTATTTTTATTTTTTACAATAGTTTCTTCAGATAAAGAAACTTTTTTTGATTTCTTTTTAGTTTTTGAATTAGTTTTTCTTTTTTGTTTTGTTTTTTTGATATTTTGCTGTTTTGTTTTTTATAATGAAGGCTTTTTTCTTCTTAATAAATGAGAGTTTAATATAAACTTAAATGCTTTTTAGTATTGTATACATAAAAATTATTTTTTGAATGAGTTTGCATATTTATTTTAAAAAAAAAATTTTTAATAATTAAGTAATCTTTAAATAAAAAATAATGTATTATAAATTTGTAATCTATAAAAGAAACCAATAACAATAAAACTAGAGTATAATATGACTATTGAGTGAGTGAAGCTTATTCTCAGTAAAGAAACCAATAACAATAAAACTAGAGTATCAGATGACTATTGAGTGAGCAAAACTTACTCTCAGAAAAGAAACTAATAACAATAAAACTAGAGTATCAGATGACTATTAAGTAAGTAAAGTTCATTCTTATTAAAAAAACTAATAACAATAAAACTAATATATTAGATGACTATTGAGTAAGTGAAGTTTATTCTTAATAAAAAACCAAATAATAATAAAATTAGAGTATTAGATAACTATTGAGTGAGTGAAGCTTACTCTTAGTAAAGAAACCAATAACAATAAAACTAGAGAATCAGATAATTATTGAGTGAGCAAAGCTCACTCTCACTAAAGAAATCAATAACAATAAAACTGGAGTATAAGATACTTATTAAGTAAGTAAAGCTTATTCTCATCAAAAAAGTCAATAAAAATAAAACTAGAATATCAGATAA